ATAGAAGTGAAAATTCATGTGGGGAAAAAAAGGAGCCTCAACTCATTTCATACCACACACAAACATATCTTGAAATGAATCACAGGCCTTACTATAAGAGGTAAGTTTATAAAACTTCTAGAAGGAAACAGAAGAAAAATCTTCATGACTTTAGAGGTAGTCAAAGAATGCTTAAGAAAGCAGTAACAATTTTTAAAAGAAAAAAAAATTGGTAACTGACTTATCAAAAGAAAAAACATGCTTTTAAAAAGACATTATGAAAGCAAAATACAAGCCTCAGAATGGGAGTAAAATATCATAATACATATAATCTGACACAGGACTTTACAACTCAGTGAGGCCATACAATAAAAATGTGCAAAAATTTGAATACACACTTCACAAAAGAACATACTTCACTTTTTAGCTATTATAAATAATTCATGTATAAGCTTTTGTGTAGGTATTTTCAGTTCTCTTGGGTATATATCTAGGAGTGAAATTGCTGGGTCATATGGTAATTATGTTTAACTTTTTGAGGAACTGCAAAATGTTTTACACAACAGCTGAGTCATTTTAAATCCCAAATAATGTATGAAGATTCCAATTTTTCTGCATCCTCGCCAACTTATTATCTGTCTTTTTCATTCTAGCCAGGCTAGCGGATGTGAAATGGTATTTTATTGTGGTTTGCCTTTGGATTTCCTTAATGACTAATAATGTTGAGCATCTTTTCATGTGCTTACTGGCATTTATATCTTCTTTGGAGAAATGGCTATTTGGATGTTTCCCATTTCTTAACTGGGTTGTCTTTCCACTGTTGAGCTATTTATATATTTAGGATATGTAATCCTTATGATATATAACTTGAAAATATCTTCTATCTGTAGGTTGTCTTTTTACTTTCTTGATAGTGTCCTTTGAAGCACAAAAGGCTTACATTTATTTATTTATTTTCATTGCTTAAAGTATTACAAAGGGTATTACATATGTGTCCTTTTTTTCCCCCCGCCCTTGACAATCCCCTGGCCTCCCCTACTCCCCAGTGTCTTATGTCCATTGGTTATGCTTATACGCATGCATACAAGTCCTTCGGTTGATCCCTTACCCCCCTCCGTTCTGCCCCCCAACCCTCCCCGGCCTTCCCACTGCAGTTTGACAATCTGTTTGAGGCAGCTCTGCCTCTGTATCTATTACTGTTCAAAAGTTTATAATGGTCTCCATGAATGAGTGAGATCATGTGGTATTTTTCCTTCATTGACTGGCTTATTTCACTTAGCATAATGCTCTCCAGTTCCATCCATGCCGTTGCAAATGGTAAGAGTTCCTTCTTTTTTACAGCAGCATAGTATTCCATCGCGTAGATGTACCACAGTTTTCTAATCCATTCATCTACTGATGGGCACTTAGGCTGTTTCCAGATCTTAGCTATGATGAATTGTGCTGCTATGAACATATGGGTGCATATATCCTTTCTGATTGGTGTTTCTAGCTTCTTGGGATATATTCCTAGAAGTGGGATCACAGGGTCAAATGGGAGTTCCATTTTTAGTTTTTTGAGGAGGCTTACATTTTTGATGAAGCACAATATATATATTTTTCCTTTGGTTGCTTGCTGCTTGTCATATCTAAGAAACCATTGCCTAATCCAAGGTCATGAAAATTTATACCTATGTAAATCTCAGATTTTCATAGTTTAGCTTTTACATGTAGGTCTATGATTCATTTTGAGTTAATTTTTGAATACAGTGTAAGGTAAGGTTTCAATTTCAATCTTTTGCATGTGGATATCCAGCTGTGTCTGTACCATTTGTTGAAAATACCATTCTTTCCCCCATTGAACTGTTTTGGCACCTAAAGTTGATTTTTAAGGATAAGAACAACAACAATAAAAATCATTGCAATGCTTGGGGGATGTCTCCACTAGAAGGCCCCATACCTGTACCCCTGAGGTCAGAAAGTTTCCTCTACCACCCCAAGGTCAGGAAGGCACTGCCAAAGTCACAAATCTCCTACGTCTGGTTAAAAGCAGTGGAATGCAGCAGGATCTTGTCCACCCCTGAAAAAACTCACTTCTGCCAAAGCCTGCTCACCACTGCTGGCAGACGATGAACATCTTTTGCTTTTGTTCAGGTTTCCAATTAGCAAATGATAGTTCTTTCCTTGGAATGACAGAAAATTAGGAGGCTCGTAACAGAGTAAGAGCTTCCTGGTCTTTACTGAGAGAAAGGGCAATACATGTTTATATGAAAGAAATATGAATGTGTATGTCCTACCAATTTTATACATCACAAAGCATCCTGAGATCTAAAACACACATCTCACTAAAAGTAATGCTGCATGGCTGCTTTTTATATTTGATGCGTTAACTAAAAGTTATATGAGACTTATGAAATCTAGTCAAATTTATATATTCTAGAGTTACTCTAGAAATCTGGATTATTCTGACAATACCTCCCAAATCATATTAGACACTAAGAACCTATAATCTGAACGTTATAAAGTATATAATGATACTATAATTAGGATAAATTGGGACAAGACTTAATTTTGATAAAAGAGAACAGTACTTTTCTCTGTTCACATTGTACTACACGGATTAATTTTTTACTTTTAACTGTTTGAAATATTTACTAAAAACAAAATACTCTAATAATAAGTGGTAATAGAGATATTAAAACATGCAGTCATAAAAGCGTTCTGAAAATTTGAGGCCAAGTACAACCTTGACTTTAGATTATCAGTAATCTTTTCATGTCAACAAAACCTTCTGTTGCTGTTTTTGTAAAAGGGTGGGTAAAAACTCTACTTCCCCAGGTTACCAATCCTTTTACTACAGCTCAAAATCATAGGGCTTCATTGTAATACTTATTACGATGATTTCAATTTAATTTTGGAAGTGAAACTTATGTAAGTCTAATGTTGTAACTAATGTCATGCTTGCTTTATATTACACTATTAAAATGGATAATGCACTTCAGAAACTGAAGTGTGTAGTACATTTTCATATCAAAAACACCCACAAACTAAAAAAGATATTTAAAATCTTTATTGTTTCATCATCAAAAGTTTTCTTTCCATAGAATAATGGCAATGAAGTATCAGTGGATGTTCTATGGAAAATTCATACCTCAAGTAACTAGCTTAGAAATCAAAGACAGCACTATGTCAAGCTAGTGTGCAAGATCAAAGACACAATGCCGCCAATGCAATCAGTATACAGAAAGAATATGCAGCTGTTAGAAAAGGAGTCTATGGCCAAGTGACTAAAACAGTTGCACTGCACTGTACTGACATTCTAAAACAGAAAATGGGGAATGACTAAAGAAGGTACTTCCTGCCAAAAAAAATCGAGATTACAGGCACTGAGTTCCCAACGGTTTCACCAGCTAATTCATGTGAAGCTGTACCTTCCTCTTTAAGGCCACAGCACTACTGCAAGCCATCTTCAGCCTAATATGTAAATGGGACAACCGAATGCAGATATTTCATTCTGCTTCCCATCTCACAGCTAAAAGTAACAACTTGGGTGCAGCTGTATAAACCTGTGGTCTTTAGGCATCTTTAGTAAAAAGATGACCAAACCTAAAATTTGTTCCCATTTTCTTGAAAAATTTATAAAATAACAAAAGATATCTGTCATGATTACTCAGTTTTGTCTGAAGGCAAGACAATTTTTTATGAAAGTATACTGAATGATTATACAAACAAATGTCCTTAACAAAATACTGTCAGACCAATTTAAACATTTTCATAACTAGCTCCTGAAAAAAGTACTGATAACTGTGAGCTGCAAATAACCACTACAATCTGATCATGCCTGGTTACTGGGAATTTTCAGGTTGGGTTTGTGTCTGAAGCTGGATTTGGCTACTTTGCATTAATTCACACAATAAATGCCATTTAAAAGGAAACAGCAGCTCTATCGTGATGAAATAAAAATGAAAACAACTGAGAGGTATACAGGAAACTTGTCTTAAATAGTTTTAAATTACATATAACATTAGAGAATAAGAACTACTATTACCATCGTCTAAATGTTAAATTGTTAATGCATGAATTATCTGCAGGATTAACAAGTCACTTGTTAATCATGCCAAGGCCTTGTGGGGCAGGGGGCACTCTGAATGTATGGCATAGCAATTTCTTTCCAGGTGAGTTAAACACCTCTGATTTAAAGTGTTATTAAACTATATTTGAAGTTCTTTTACTTACTATATTCACTGTATAAAATAAGTTAAAAGGAGGGAGCAGGGAAAGGTTTTCTGTATATGTGATGCAAACATCTTTCCCATATCAGTAGTAGTTCCACAAATGTCCATTTTACCTATGGTAAAATATGAAAGGCTGATAAAAGATCAAAAATTTCCCTTATAAATAGAAACAGGACTCAAAAAATGAAATTTCAACATCGTTTCCTTCCACAATGCAACTCTTTAACTATCATAAACATAAATAAAAACCACATCTCAAAAATCTGTTTTTACACCCTTACCTTAAAGTTTAACAAAAAAATTCTTCAAACAATTGAGAAGAAAAGCACTCCTTTGTAGCAATTCCATAAAATAATTTTCAATTCACAAAACATCTGCTTACTGGCAAAACCAGCACGGGCATTAATGCTTGGCCCTTCTGAGGTATAAATGCAGCTATATACGCACTGAGTATATAGTCTATAAGGTATGCCAACAGTCCGAATGTTTGCATAAAATTGGGGAGTGATGTCATCCCTGACTGATTGAAACTTACTTTTATAACTTTTTGTAATAATGAAGGTTAAATAATCTTAAGAGAAAAGGATATACTTTAGCCCAGTAATATCCAGCAGAAATCTAATTCCTAACCAATGCGAATGGATTATTACATTAAAAAAATTTTTTAACACTGCCTATTTAATAAAAAAAAAAAAAAACTG